CCAGTTAAGAGAAGGTTTGAACTAACTAGCTGACTCTTGTCGGGCAAAGGATCTGCCTTTTGCAACTGTACAGCTGGTGTGAAGGTTGACATTCCTGTAGAGCGACACAATCCATGGTCATTATAACGGTTGCTTATTCCAGCCGCTTGTGTTGACATTGGCAGAAAATTCTGCGGGTGTCTAGAACCACTGGGGTGTCTTCAAGATCATTTATGAATGGGCACGGGGTGCATGTTGTGGGTTGTCCATGGTTACATGCCTGCAGAGGATCTCCACCACTCACAGCTCAGAGTCCAGGCTGGGTGAAATGGCAGTCAGGAAAGTGAGGATACATCTACTGTATTCCTATTCTTCTCCAGTCGATATGGGATGTCCGCACCATGTTTCCGGGCCTACGGCCTAAGTATTCGGGACAGGTACAGACTGCACAGAGGGTGAGGCCGATCTTGGACCTTTTGTTGGCCTTGAGCGAGTCAACATCGCACAAGTTCTTCTTGCAAACATTTCACGGTAAACGTAATTTTGCTGAATATGAATGCCGCCAGTTTGTCCACGGCTCTGTCGAGGCCCTGACTTGTGATTTTGCCAAGCAATCGCAGGTTGTGCATCTAGGATTAGCTGCTAAGATAACAGGGTCTGGGTGAATCGAGTAGTATGCAGCAAGTTCACTGCCAAATGTTTGAGAAGCTGGTGACAAGAGCGGGCGAGAGAGAGAGAGAGAGAGGGCCTTGCCTTGCCTGAATCATCGGTGCATTCAAAAGCAGAAGTGAAGATGATAGGATGAAGCGAGGATGCCATGAGTCATGTGTCATGATGACGGTGCAACAGCTGACTACACCTTTGGTCCGTGGGGTATGTCGCGCGGAGCCTTTCAAGCAAGTGTTCTTGTATATTCGGTGTGCAGAAAGCATCGGCAAATGTTGCACTAATCACTAATCGTGGGTGCTTCCATCCATCACATGGCGCCTGTCCGTGCGAGCTGCAACGGGCCGCCAGAGAAGGGCCTGCTCCGTGTTGACTTGACATCAGTGCCAACCTTACGTGCCAGTACAGCCCTGGGCTTTGGAGCGTTGGCCTTGCGGGAGGAGCCGTTGCTGAGGGTGCCTTGGATTCGGTGCTTGAAATTAGTTGCAGTGGTGTGCAACTTGTTCAACATGGAACACTTAGATGGGCATAAGAGTCGATAGAGCAACAAATGAAGGCATTTTCGAGGGGGAGAGGCCAGTGCAAAGAGTGGGAGGGGGAGCGAACTGGGAGAATGAGACAGAGCGGGTGTACGGTATAGGGTGTCACACTCTGATGGCATCTAGCTCAGTGAGCAAACTGATGGAAACGGGCTCCCCAAACCTCTGACCGGAGAGCAGAGCTTCAACGTGTGGATACCATCAATGTGTGCGGCCGGAATGGTGTGTCATTTGCTGTGGTTCGATGCGTTTGTGTCTTCTCATTGGATGCCATCCCACACCCGTGAACCATACCTTACTCACGCCCTTTTTCCTGGAGGGGTCATGCAAGTTGATCGGCAGTGAATTCATGTGAGGAGAGCTTACTGTTCCAATGCTCTCAAGTCTTGCTACTTCGCACTTGCCTTGTCAGTGCAAACTCCTTCCTTCCGAAAGACAATGCAAGAATAAACGGAGAAGCTAGGGTCTATGCCTTTACTGTATGCCGTTCTGTTCTATCTCCTGTTTTCTTCTTTCAAGACATCCTTTCCAATTCTGTCAAATTCTAGGTGCCACAAGACAATCTCAAAGGATTTCTCTCCTCTTCTGCCCCAGAGATCTTTGCAGAGCTGGCTGTACGCCTTGGTGATGAACAACGCCTGGGTGTTTTTGCGGCGTTCTTGCTTTTGTCAGAGGGGAAGCAGCAGGTGTTGTTGGGAATGGGCTTGCCACCTGGAAGCCAGGTGCTGGAAGCCAATGAAAAAGCCATCGCGGCTTTTTTGAGGGATTTTCCCACGTACTCTGGGGCGCTGGATTGGCAGCTTTTTGCTCGTGTGGTGGCCATCGTCAGTGAGCGTGGAACGCGGCTGCCCAGCGAGCAGGGCGGCTGCCACGTGGTCTACGAGCACTCCGACCTTGCCTCCCACAGCTGTTGCCCAAATGCCGTGGTGGAGACTTTGTCGGATGACGGTCTACGGGAGCTAAGGGTACTTAGTTATGAAGGCATCGCTGAGAATGAAGAGGTCACTGTAAGTTATGTTCCTGAAGAACTCCTACTACAGCCACTCCCAGACAGGAGCCGTGGAATTTCCGAACTGCGGCAGGGGTACCTGTGTCGCTGTCCTAGGTGCAAGCTCAGTGACGAGATGCCAAACCTCACTGAAGTCTCGAAGGATCTGAAACTTGATTTAGCCCTTGAAGACTTGCAGCAGAGGCTGCACAAGTTGAAACAGGTGGATGTAGCATTGCCATTTGCGATGGCATCTAAAGCACGTGTCCGCTTCAGATTGGCACAAGCATGTGAGAGGCCCCTCCCATCAGAGGCCAAGAAGCTGTATGAAGATGCATTCGATGAGACTGACATTGTGCTCGGGCAGAAAGGCCTCCGAAATGTGAGCAACATCAAGCGCCGTCTTGAACAGCTGGATACTTGATGCCAAAATTGGAATTTGCGTCCAGCAGTTCTCCAACGGCAGGTTGGTAGTTGTACACGCATATATAGAATATTTCACATAATGCCACAATGCGCTGTCGCTGTTCTTTGCATTTTGTTGATTGTTCAGCTTCAAGTGCTTTTTGTTTGTCCAGGTTGAACCCTTGTCTGAAGAATCTCTGAGCAGTTTCAGAGCTGTCATGGAGGAGAAGCATGTTCTTCAGTTTTGCGTTTTTGCAAGGCAGCATGTGACTGACTGGCTCTACTTAGGGGGCAGACGGAAATACAGCTCTTACAGCAGAACTTGTGCAAGAACTCATCAGGGTGACCAGTGCAGGAAATATTGGAACACGTTTTCGGAGATCTTTTCCCAGGCTTGAGCAAGGCAGGCAAAGCCAGATGACGCATGTATAATAATGTATATATATATATATATGTATTTATACATGCAATAAATGACCATGGTTCGGCATGCTCACCATTTGTGTTTTCCGGAGAAAGGATAAACGCATTCCCAGCTTTAATGAGGATGCATGGCCCAACAGCGCGAATCTAAACCTGTACAGGGATGGCCGCCAAGGAGTAGGCCAGCATGTGTTTGTTGGGCTATGGACTTGCAGAGCCATTTCCTTTTCTTGCTCAGAGCTGCTTGAACATGTGCACAACTTGTAGCTGTCCACCTGAAACCCTCGTGTTGTTGAAACAATTCGAATGAAGTGAGAGGCTCTCAAGCTTCAAATTTTTGTCGTCTTGGACTCCTTGGACTTCTCGCGCCTCTCCTTCCTACCTCCTTTCCTACCCCGAGATTGAACCTCAGGCAAAGGAGCAAACTAGAGCTACATGCAATCAATGGAAGTTTGTTCCCCCCTGTGGGATTAAATCCGGAGATTCCGGCCTTGGTTTATATTATCTGACTTTGAAGGGCCCAGGCCCAGGTGCTTGTGGGTCTCTTTGACTCACCAACTCGGCATGCAGGTTGGCATGCAGATGATGAGTTGCTTTTCAAGGGGAAGGACGCTAGAGGGCTCTTTGTTCCGATGATGTGATATTGTTTGATGTGGCAGTAGTTACCAGAAGTTGTGGAACCGGTGCGGCCATATCATGTACAGTAAACAAAGACAGGCATGCCAAGAGGACTCCGACTGCCCTGTCGTAAGCATCTCGTTGGGTGCCACTCGCGAGAGCGGGCCTCAGGCTAGAGGGAAGCTATTCGGCTTAGAGACAAACAAATTCTCAGAATCTGATGCAGCGAGGATGCAGAATGCAGTGCTGAAATTTTGAGGTTTTGGGTTGCTTTGAAGGATGGAGCAGTTTGGGACTCAGAGAGAAGAACATGACCAGATGTGCGGAACGCAAGGCGAAACTGTTGCAGTGTGATGCAGTGTGTGGAACATCGCTTTTTACATTCTGCTGATTTTCAGTGGATCCTTAGACTATGCGCACAAAAAGTTCCACAGAAAGGCCAGCGTGTCACCTGTCCTTAACGAGCTCAAGAATTCCCAGCAATTCACTAACAAAGAGAGAGAGAGAGAGAGAGAGAGCGGGAGGGGGGAGCGAGTGCTGAATCAGCCAGTTTGCAAATTTATTGTGGTCAAAGTGTTGCCCTTCCAACAGGATTATATTACATAAATATAAAATCTATTGTTGTCGGGGTCCTTTAGACATAGGACGGCTCAGACCAGTTCCGCCTGGCCATGGATGAGTTGGAGCGAAAATTGTTGGACGTGCTGGCGGATGTGCAAGCTTTGCGACAGACGAATGAGCCTCGATTAGAAATTCCGGACCTGTAGTTGGATGAGCAAATACCTCCACATAGAAAGGTTCCTTGTTTGGGACATCGCCTTCAAACACCTTCAATGAAGAATAATGAAGACGGTGTAAAAAATTTGGAGCGCTGCGCAGGGCACCAGACCATTGACTGGAGGGTGCTCTCCATTGACTGTCAGGTTTTCTGGTGGTCTTAAATTAAAGCTTGTGACAGCATGCGCCCAAAAGCTCAGACAGGCTGGGGCTCCCCACAGGGTAGGGGAGAGCCAACCATTTCTATTTTTATGTACCAGCATTCCTCCTTGCAAATCTCCCATATTGGGGAAATTGCCCCCCAGACGAGGCTTCGACCTCAGATCGTAAGTCGAGTAGATAATAACATATGTATATAGGAGGAATCTGGGGATCTAGCGATATGCAGAGACATGGGCGCAGCACATGATATATGTTCAATTCATCTCCGCTCAACCCTGCAGATAGGCGCACAAGTTCTCGAGTGCCTTGCTCGATTGAGGAGAAGCTGGATATGATCTTGGAGTCGAGGGATTTAGCTGGCGCAAATGCTGCACATGAACGTAGCTGTGTAGGAGCTCCTTTGGAGGCAGTGCAAGAGGAGAATTTGGAGGTGCGGCAGACAGCTTTGGCTGAGTGCCAAGCCTTAACGGAATTTGACACACCCGGAATGTTGTCGGTGCACGCAGATGCTAGAAAAAGTGCCTATATAAGTAGTTTTATAAGGATTTATAGATGTTGGTAAGTCCACCAGCCAACCATCAACAACCCTTGCGACCGTTTGAGTTTTCACTCTGGTTGACCTGCACAGACGGACCGCAGGGAGAGAGCCTTGAGCTGGAAGAGTCCAACTTGCGCAAGATTCCTCATGGAACGGGTGAACCTGATGCGCCACTTGTGCCACTTCAGCTTGTCTTTTTCCCCAGATAGCGAAGCTATGGGGTTCTTACTTCAAATAACAATGAGCTGCCCGTGCGCACTTTCGAGACAGGTTGCTGTTGCTGGGTGCTGGTGCTGGTGCCGTGCTGTGAGCTGGCTGTGCACGTGGTTGCTGGTGCCGGTGCTGGTGCCGGGTGCCGGTGCTTGTGCTGTGAGGTGGCTGTGCACGTGGTGGAGACAGGTTGCTGGTGCCGGTGCTGGTGCTGGGTGCCGGGTGCCGGTGCTGGTGCTGTGAGCTGGCTGTGCACGTGGTGGAGACAGGTTGCCGGGTGCCGGTGCTGGGTGTCGGGTGCCGGTGCTGGTGCTGTGGGCTGGCTGTGCGTGGTGGAGACAGGTTGCTGGTGCTGGTGCCGGTGCTGGTGCTGTGAGCTGGGTGTGCACGTGGTGGAGACAGGTGGCTGGTGCTGGTGCTGGGTGCCGGCTGGTGCTGCTGTGCGTGTGGAGACAGATTGCTGCTGCTGGGTGCCGGCGCTGGTGGTGGGTGCCGGGTGCCGGTGCTGGTGCTGTGAGCTGGCTCCGTACATTCTTGGTTCAGCCAGCTGCATGTCAACAGGTCGTGGGATTCTTCCTTGCTATCTGGGTCTATGCTGGTGTAATTTGTTGTGATTGTGTGTGTGGTCGCGGGAGAAAACCACGATAATGCGTGCAAGGATTTGGGCTGGTCCACTTGAGTCTCACTTGAACCGGAGAAGCACTGCAATCAAACTGTACGCTGAGGTATGACCTCAGACCACACTTCGGCACTGACATGCAGCACCAGGAAGAGAAGCCAAGAACGCGGACTGAACAAAAGGCTCATTGTCTCAAAATGCATTAGGTCAGGCAGGTAGCCTTGAAGTTAGTGAAGTATACAGTATACAGTATACAGATGTACATAGTCATAGGATGTAATTGGACGAGCCATTTGCATTCGTGTCGTGTCATTTTCCTCCTTTGTAAGCATCCTGTGAATCGGGCAAGCCCCAGAAAAAAAAAGCATCCACAGGAACAGCAAGAGCCTACGGGAGATGAAGCTTACACCAGAGATGGCACCAGAGACGGCTTGTGCTCCTTCCCTTCCTTTGAGGCACTGCGGATCCCTCAAAAAGATTGAAGACGGCCCGTCGCCTTCTTTCCCACAGGCCGAAGCCTCCTTCCCTGGTGGGCCAGAGGTTTCAGTGGAGGAGTGGCCGCAGCGGTGGCGAAGCGGTGGGAGGTGTGGCCGGTGGATGTCCTACCCAGCAGCAACAAGCAAACAAATGTTAAACATCAGGGCCTGAGGGCTCATGCATTGGATCAGAATCTGTACTTCTATATATTCCAACTCAAATTCAATCAAAATAGAGTGCTCCACTTGGCCTTGGTGCTCCTTTATACAAACAATATATGAACACACTAACACCACAGCAGCATGCTTGAACTGACCATGCAAATTCTATAATTGCACATACAATCATATGAATCATATGTGACCCAAAGCGTTGAAGGCTTTTTGGTCAATGTGGCGGCACATGCTGCCACTTGGTGCCACAAGAAGTAGTGGCTACAATCAGAGCCCATGACCGGCACAGTGAGCCCAACTGGACAGTCGCAAGAGACGCTGAAGCATCAGTGATGCAAATCCTCAGGTTGGCTCGTGCAGACGTGTTATTTTTGGTTCAAGATTGCTAGTAGGTTGGAGGCTATCGCTATTAGGTTCTTTAAGCAAGTAGAGTAAGCGTGGCGCTTGGATGGCGAGGGTGAACACGGGGCGCAAGCCATACAAATTCGCCCACCTGGTTTCTTTGTTCGCTTCCCTGTGTGCGTTCGTTGGTGAGCTCCAAGTTGCAGAGGTCGGGAGGTTGCATTGTTTACAGCATGGCAGGCGTCGCCCAGCTGCATTGCAGGCCACAGGCATCCCTGAAACCCTGGCTGCGTATGAGGACGTCTTTGAACTTGCTGCAAGTGTCATGATAAGCATTGCATGCTTCGTGTACACCTTGAAGCCACAAGTGGCAAGCGGAAAAGAAGTGGACAGAGCAGAGATGATACAAAGGGCAACGAGCTCTTTTCTCCGACCATTGCAACCTGATCAGAAGAAAGACAATGTCGTTCAGACAAATATCATGGTGGCACTCCGTCATCGCTTTGAAGAGTGGAATGGGCACGCCACCTTCATCAGTGGCCGACATGGGTCTGGCAAAACCTGGGCGTGGCAAGAAGCCTTAAGAGACGTGCGAGGAGTTGCGGTCATTTCAGTGCACGCTGAGCCTGTGGCTGCAGCTGTTGAACAAAACCTTGGATTTAACCTTGGTGTGCTCAAGGGTGCTTTGGAGAGAGTTCGATTGGAGCTATCACAGTGTCCACACAACCTCACCAAAGTGCCAGTGATTGTTTTAGAGGTGTATTCTGGAAGGACGGCTTGCGTTGAAAGCATCTGTTCTTTTGCCAAGGAGTTGTCATCCGACCTTAGGCTGGCTCACGTAGTTGTTTGTGACTCATCCTTTGTGGTCCCCTGGGTGATGTCCAGAAGAGATTCGCAAGGCATACATTTATTTGTCGAGGATTTCTCCCTCAAAGAGGCCAAAGATGCTTTGGCGAGGAAAGGCCATGTAGAGGATTGGAGGACATACATTGACACCTGCGGTCGAAGGGCATTGGACATAGCTTTGGCCTGTGACCAGGGGCTAGAGGCTTTTCGCAGCCAGCGGAGGATCATATCCCAGCAAGTGGATCGCCTTTGCACTTTCGTCATAGAGCTTCCTTTAGGGAGTGGATTGCTTTTGGTTGGCCATCAGCTTTTGAATCAACTTCTCCGAAGGAAGCGGCAGGGAGATGATGCAGGTGTTGACCAAGATTTCTTGCATCCTGGATCTATTTGCCCGCATGAAGTGATTGCATGGATCGAAGAGAATGGTGCGCAGGCAGTCGTTTGGAAGGCTTGTGACCAGAAATATCACTTTGCCTCAGATTTTCACTATGAGGCGCTGGAAGAGAGGCTCCGGAGAGCCCAAATTCAAGAGCTCTAGGAGGAATACTTTTGATACTGAAGCGATGCATGCAAATTTGGCCGAGCCAGGCTTGCTACAATGATGTTTGATGCCAAAGAATAACATAAAAGTCAAGCGTAGCAATATTAATATGGGCGCCAGAACGTCATGTTCTGACAGAGTGCTTGCCTTGGGATGCCATGAGAACAAGCAGATCAACCCAGATTTGGCAGCCCCGAAAGCAACTGGTCTGATAAAAGTGTGTTTTGCAACGGTATGGGGCAGTGGGGCTGTGAGCACATTCCTCCATTGTGGAGGAGGCAGGAGGGGTCAAGGACGAGCCGGCCAAGAACGTCTTGGTGCTGGCGGAGGAACAGGAGCGCACACGCGGGTGTGTGTGTGTGTGTGTGTCACCCTCTGTTTCTAAGAGTTCTGCGTAGTACTCACTTCAATCCAGCAGGGGCGTGTGACACTCTTATCCTATCACACGCAACGAAGCTGTGGATAAGAGTGGGAAGGGAAACTTCGCCAGTTTCCTGTACCTGCGACGTGAACAGTTGACCCCCTCCGCTGTTCTTTGTTTTCGTGGTCCTTGCATGATAAACCCCAAAACAATTTTTTCAGCCGCTGAGCTTGCCACCGCCGCGTTCTGCAGTCACGCAAGAAACAGTGTTCTCAACATTTCAGGTCAGCGGACCTTTCCGTTCTTTCTTTCATTTCTTCGTGGAACAGAGTTCGCGGAAAACCCATTGTCTAAGTGTGTGCCGCTCTGCCGTCCCACTTGGGTGCAGGGTGTGATCTCCCGCAAGGGAGCACCGAAGCCATCGTGGATCACAGTTTGATTCAGCGTTTTTCTGCACGCGTTGGATTATCACTTACTGATCAAGTGTCTCCTTCTGCCGCAACACTGCCGAGTTTACGGAGACTCAACGCCGCCGGGCATACGGTGTCTCTTCCACGTTTTCATGTCAGAGCTTTCACGGTTCAAGTTTTTTGATGCTGGCAATCAAAGTTCACTCATTTACTGCCTCAAGGTTGTTTGGCCAACTTCCCGGCATTTTCACGACGCTTCATGTGCAGCTAGTTTCCCTTCTACGTTCCGATGGACTTTCCATCCACATGTTGACTAGGTATCACCACCCCCTTGGGCACTCAAAATGGGGGGGGACCTTTTTATTGTAACTTACATTTTCGGGGGGGGGGCAAAAAGTAACTTTCCCCCCCCCAAAAAAAAATGACTATGTTTGAGGGGGGGGGGGGTCAGGAAATTGTTAGCGCAAGTCACTTAGGTCAAGGAAACATAAGGACATTAATTGGGAAATGACATGGAACTGTTCCATGGAGTGACCAGAGATGGTCTTCAGAACATAGAGCAATGGCTTTAGCAGACGCTTGAAGGGACCGGGGTCGCGCCTGCAGGAAAAGAGACGTGTTTAGTGTCATTTGCTGATATTTGCTGCTATTTGCAGTAGTTTTCAGTGCATGCTTAGCTCACATTGTGTCTGTGCATGCGTTTCCACACATCCCAAATAGTAACTTACATTTTCTTAGATAAATGTAACTTCACTGGTTCTTCTGGTGCATTTCCTGGGTACACGCCAGCCAAAAAATGTAACTTACAATAAAAAGGTCTACACCCCAAAAATGTAACGTTACATTTTTGGGTGGCCAACCTATGGAAAATGCAAGTTACAATAAAAAGGTCCCCCCCCTTCATGGGGGTGGGGATGACTAGGTCTGGACGCCTTTCCTTTTCTGCGTTTTGATACAAATTTTCAAGCTCAATTATTTATTCAATTCATTCGGATTCACGTGTGCGTGCATCGTCCTTTTTGCACGGCGCCGATCCATCGCGCTGCCGCTGCCATCGCACTGCTGCTGACGACAGCGGTGATACTCTTCGGCAGCATGCATGCGTGCGCTTTCCTTGGCCGTACCCTTATGCACCACAACCGCCACCCATGACGATGCCACTCCACAGCCTTTTCCACCCCAACCTACACCGTGCCACTCAGTACCAATGATATGGCCTCCACATCCTACCATCCCTCCGCCAGCTGCACACTTCGCAGAGCCACCGCCACATGTGCCAGTGCCCACCTTTCCGGTTCCTTTTACCTTTCCCACAGCACTCCCCCCACAGGATTTTCCACATCCGGCGCAACGCCCTCCTTCAGCACCACCGCCTGCCACAGCCACCTGCACCTTCAGCCACCTCCGCTCAGTCTCCAGCTGCCAATCCGACGCCGCCCAATCCTGCTCAGCCATCTCCTTCTCAACAATCACCTCCTCCTCAACCACCACCTGGGCCCAGTTCCGGCCCCGACCACCACTGAATCTACAACAACCAGGCACCACATCCAAGACTGACGCCTCAGCGGGGGGTGCTCCCTCGGCACCGCAACAATCCCGCCATCGCAGTCGCCGCCACAGGCGTCATGGCCGTCGCCGCCATCACTCGCACCACCATCGAGGACGTTCTGACCACCACCACCACGCGTCACACAGCAGCGACCACCGTGATCAATCCACCTCCTATTCCTACTCCTCCACCCGCAGTCGCACTCCACCTGGTCGCGCAGACAGACCGGCCATCACTCCGGTCAAATTCGGAGCTTGCCACACACGATCCTGACAAATCCTACCCCAAGCACCCAACTATGCGTCGGCTCAACCCTTGGAAAGCACCACCCCAGTTTGACAAAAAGTCAGCTCAGGAACAGCTCGAGGCCTGGCTCGACTATCATGCCCATCAATTCGACACTCCCAATTCTCCCCAACACGCCTATGTAGCCCGCATGCTCATTGACAGCGGTCTCACCTCCTCCGATGTTTGTGACTACCAGCACTCCACCCATATCAATATCAAATGGAACAATGACACCAATCGCTACGACCTTTTCCATTTCAATCACATCACTCTTCACACACTCCCGACCAAAGCCTTTCAACGCTTTCCACCCCAACCTACACGTGCCACCAACACTTCACCTGAGATTGCACATATTCTGGGCGGCCATACAGGCCCTGCGGGCAACATCGCCCAAATCCTCAAACGGGGCCGGTTTCTACCAAGCACTCCCCATTTCCACCACAACATCGGCTTTTTCGCCCAGGGCTTTCGAGCCACACACAATCACCCCCACGATTACACTGAGAACGCCCGCATTCTCTTAATACCTGGAACCTTTCTAAAAACACCCACTCCCTTGTGGTCACCCTCCTTGTGGGGGACAGGCAAGAAAATCACCCAGGGCGGTGAAGAACAAGCCGCTAAGCTCCTCCAGGAACAACACGGAGCTGTGTTCCACCAAAATGGCCGTCATTGACCCATGAACGCCATTGTTCGCGGCATTGCGTGGTCCGCCGATGCCGCTCCACCAGCCTTTTGATGCCACCTCCAACTCCATGCCATTGAACTACCACCTCCACTTCTACCTCCACACCTGTCTCACTGTGGCCGTCTCACCTTGCCACCACATACCGGTTGAACCGGCAGTCGCTTCCATGTCACATGACTTTGATCTTGTGAGGTTTTGGGATCGTTCTAATCTCTTTTTTGTTTGATTTCTGATATGTCTTGTCAATGGGTCTATTATACATGTGGACCAACTGTGCAAGTTTTGAACCAGTCATTATCAGCGGTTCACACTGTTCTTGATCACCGCCATGGCTCGATTTAATTCATTGCTTCGTAATTCATTTTGCACGTGATTCTCCAATTTTCCACGGACTCCAGCGCCTCATGCAACTTCTCGTGCCATTAGCAGCTGCCGGCGCCTGGCCCCAACAGACGATCTGTCCACCAACATGGGCTTGACTACCTTGCTTCATCAGACGACCGTCTCCTTGACTCAGCCCCAACGACTAGCTCAGACAGCGGCTGACATTTTGCAAGATCTCCACAGCGTCTACCTTGTACACACGCACCAAGTGGATCCGCGCTTTCAACAGCCTCCTCCTCCCACCTCTCCGCCAATTGGTCCTATGTTGCTCGGAGAGTTGGTTTCTCCGTCAAACAATGCAAAGCAAGATGGGCAGAACTCCAGGAACAAGACCTTCAACACGCCACCCTCCCCCCTTCACCATCTTCTTCTCCTACATCCCTGTGCATCTCGTTCCTCTTCATCACAACCACATACACTTGTACTGTCTTGTCTTCTTTTCATGTCTTCGTCGTTTTGTCTTTTTCTGCGCGCGCACATGCGCATCAGTTTGAACCTTTGCTTTCATTGTGGGCTCCCTTCACGGAAGGCGTGTGTGTGAAACCCCTCCGACCTTCTATTTCCAAAGGGCTTTTTCGTGCAAGCACCAGCCCGACGAAGAGGCTTGCATTGAACACTGGTATCGGTGTATGTGCTTTCCTTTCAACTGTTGACCAAGCTGTGACTTGTAAAATGCTAATGAGTTCTGCAGTCACGCGCTCGCCGCTCGGCCTTGCCGGACTTGAGACTCGATGGAGTCCCGGAATCTAGACCTTTCAAGATGCTCAGACCCCCTTTTTACATGGCAACCAGTTCCGTGCGCGTGTCCCAAGTGTGTGTGTGTGTACCCTCTGGAGTCACGAGGTTCCTTTCGGATTGGTTTTTTGTTTGAGTTTTTAGCAGGGGGTGGTAGCAAGGCAGAGAGTCTACCACCAACGAAGACGCTCTCTAAGCCTTGGTGATACTGGGGCTGATCATCCCAGCGTACCTGCATCAACTTGTGTGTGTGTCACCCCCTGTATCTAAGGGTTCTACCTCTTCTCTCATTTTCAACTTTTTTGAGCAGGGGGCAGTGGACCGCTATCACTCACTGCCCAACGAAGACAGTGATAGCCCGGTCGTGAAATCCAGAAAGGACGCTTTCTGGACGTACCTGCCAAAAGAACTTTTGAGCAAGCTGTCCAATTCGATCGGTTTGTTTCCATGGTCCTTCACGTTTCCTCCCCCAAACCTCGCGGAGCTTTTTGCAGCTTAGCTTTGCAGCCGACTCGCAGCGCGCCGCTCGTTTCTGCAGACTTGAACAACATTTTTTGAAACACCTACAAGTTTTCGGACCTTTCACCTTGCGGTTCTTCACCATCCTTCCCATCGTGGTAACTGAGTTAACTGAATACAATTGTCAGAGTGTGTTTCGCTCAGCCGTCCCACTCGGGTGCTGAGTGTGATCCCCGTCATTGGGGCGCTGTCTCATCGTGCAAGCACTGGTGACCTCACCACTTTGCACAGGAACTTCACTGGAAGTCACCTCCACAACCACCGAATTAACTGCCACAAAGGCCGCCGGGCCTCACCACGGGAACTGACAGTTTTGCACTGAGATGTTTGACGGCTAAGTATTCACACGTGCATGTGCTGCTAAGTATTCACAGGCCGGACAAATTAAAACTGTGCACTTTTGTTTTTTCCTTTCCCCCTCCCTACCCCTGGGCCCCTTTGCTACCCCACCCGCTATTCGGGAAACAGAAGGAAATCGCACTCAACACACTTGTGTGTTGGTGCCTTTCCTTCTGCTTCTCCTAGCCTATTGCTAGCTACCCGGGCGGTTTAAGACAAATGTCCCGCTCGCGCACTACTTTCATTTAACTAAGTGGGCCTCGTAACTACCCCTATCTTTCTTTCTTGCCCTCTTAGTCTGCTTTTGTTTTGTTTGCTTTGTCTGTCTTTCTAAGGCTTTTTAGGTGGCTATTAGTTTTTTCGCAGCGCCAATATTGGCGCTTTCTGTACAAAGCTCCACCTTCAACGTTCTACACACTTGCGCCGGAATCGGCTGTTTGTGTGTGTCACCCCCTGTATCTAAGGGTTCTACCTCTTCTCTCATTTTCAACTTTTCATGAAAGGTAGCGGTTACGCTACCTGAGTTTTCCTTTTGCTTTAGCAAAAATGTATTAACCCAGAGCTGCAGCCTATCTCTCGGAGAAATGGTCCCCGACATCTTCGTTTACTGGCCGGGGGGGGGGGGGCCCCCCCCCCC